ATGGAAACTGATTTTTTACAAAGTCACGAAGGCAAAGCAGTGGAGAAAGGATAGTCCCTTCAACAAATGGTACTGGAACAATGGGATATTCATATGCCAACAAAATGGACTTCATATCTTGTACTATGTTTAAAAGTTAACTCAAAATGGGCCATAGGCCTAAATGTAAAACTAAATATTATACAACTTCTATGAGAAAACATAAGGAAAAAATCTTCGACCTTGGTTTAAACAAAGACCTTATAGACCCAACCTCAAAAGTATAATCCAAAAAAGAACAAATTGGTGAGTTAAACTTCATCAAAATTTAAAACTTCTGCTCTTTCAAAGAATGAAAAGGCAGGCACAGGCTGGGAGAAAATCTTTTTAAATCATATATCCAATGATGGAATTCATTCAGAATATATAAAGAACTTCCAAAACTATATAATAAGAAAACAACTCGGTAAAAACCTGGGCAAAAGATTTGAACAGACACATCATCCATGAAGACAGACTAATAGTAAATTAAGTGCATGAAAATATGCTTGACATCATTATCTATTAGGGAAATGCAAATTAAGTCCACAATGAGTTACCACTATATACCTATTAGAATGACCAAAAAGAAAAAGATTGACCATGTCAACGTAGGTGAGGATGTGGAAGAACTGGAACTCTCATATACTGCTGCTGGGAATGGAAAATGATACAGACACTTTGGAAGATAATTGACAGAGTCTTTGAAAGTTAAACATACACCTACCATATGATCCAGCCATTCTGCTTCTAGGTGTTTAGCCAAAAGGAAAGGAAATATATATTCATTCAAACACATGTGGATGAATGCTCATAGCAGCTTTATTTGTAAAAGGAAAACTGGAAAGAGCCCAAATTTCCATCCACAGATAAGCAGATATACTGTATAGGCTATCCATGTAATGGAGAGTGACTACTCAGCAATAAAAAGGAATGAACTATTAATATATATACACTTCAACTTGGATGAATCTCAACCTGATTATGCTGAGTAATAGAAGCAAGATAAAGGACTCAGAGAGTACATACTATAAATTTTCATTTACATGAAATTCTAGAAAAGGCAAACTAATTTATAATGACAGCAGATTGGGGTGGGAGGGAGAGATGACAAAGGGGCATGAGGACCCTTTGCGGATAATGAGTATGTTCACTATCTTGATTATAGTTTCACTGGTTTACACACATGTCAAAACTTATCAAATAGAACAGTTTTAGTATGTACAACATGTTGCATGTCAATTACACCTCAGTTGAGTTGGGTTCTTTTACAATTTTAGGTTTAAAATAATCTGTGAACAATACTCTTAATCTTTAGCCTTTGGCCTTGGCCAAGATGCCTTCTCATGCATAATTCTTTGCAGAGAAAGCTACATCTCCTTCACTTACGGTGGTAAGCCAAGGGGTGAACAAATGCTTTAATCATCGTCATAGCTGTAGTTCTAGCACTTGACTCATAAGAAGTACTTAATGTGTGTGTAACAATAATACTTCATGCTTAGAAGTTATATGGGTCTAAAATTCAATAACTAAAGAACTAAAAATGTAATTTGCAATAAACTTAAAAGGTGACATCTAGGAAGCGTTGCACATCACAAGAGCATGTATTTCTTTCAAATATACAGAAGAAAATCAAGGAACAACTGAGCAAGGTCTACCCTGCAAGGGGTCCTGAGGATGGTAATCCAGCCAGTGAGTCAGAATCTGACTTATGCCCAGGAGCCAGCTACCTCAAAGTGCTGAGCACATCAAATTCAAAATGGCTGGCGAAAATGCTCGCCTCTGGTAGAAGAGCTGCATGTAAATTGGACACCAGAAGGAAAGCAATTTAACTCATGCAAACACAACTCAACTAAAAACAGAGATTAAAGAGAACTGCTATAACTCACACCAAATATTTAGCAGCTGCAATTTTCATTTTTTACTGCTGAGTTCAATTCACAAAAACAACAATAATATTTATTTAACATCTGTTATGTGTCAACAGTGTGGTAGTTATCTTTAAGGCTGTTAAGCATTTGAATAAATTATAGGAGGCAATGAAATCTCCCTTCTAAGAAATCCTTCTCATTTGGATACAGAATGTGACTATACAAAATGAAATAAGTGTAGATCTTCCAAGACAAGAGCTTCTTTGTGTAGATCTTCCAAGACAGGGTCTTCTTTGTCTATGACATTTTTGTATATATTCAAGTTTTCATGGCCATGATGCCTTACATAAAACATTAATTAATTGCAGCACAGTTCACAATAGCTAAGATTTGGAAGCAACCTAAGTGTCCATCAATAGATGACTGGACAAAGAAAATGTGGTACATATATACAATGGAGTACTATTCAATCATAAGAAAGAACAAGATCCTGTCATTTGCAACAACATGGATGGAACTGGAGGTCATTGTGTTAAGTGAAATAAGCCAGGCACAGAAACAGAAACTTCATATGTTCTCACTTATTTGTTGGAGCTAAAAATTTAAAAAATTGAACTCATTGAGATAGTAGAAGGATGGTTATCAGAGGCTGGAAAGGGTAGTGATGGAGTAGGTGGAAATGGGGATGGTTAATAGGTTCAAAAAAAAAAGAATGATTATGACATAGTATTGGCTAGCACAACAGGGTGACTATAGCAAAAAATAATGTAATTGTACATTTTAAAGTAACTAAAACAATATAAATAGATTGTAACACAAAGGATAAATGCTTGGAGGATGGATACCCCATTTACCCTGATGTGATTATTATGCATTGCATGCCTGTATCAAAGCATGTCATGTAACCCATAAATATGTATACCTATTATATACCCACAAACATTAAAAATAATTGTTTTTAAAAAATTAATGGGATATTATGTCATTTCCCCCAGGTCTGGCTCAGTAATTCCCCATGAACAATGTAGAGGACATACTGTCTAGTTAACTTGGTTGAATAAGGACTCAATGAGTGGGGGAAAATGTATTTGGAAATTCTTTCCTAAAACTGAAATACTATGGTCATCCATTCATTAGATAGTCACTAAATTCCTACCATGTCCGGGGAGTGTGCAGTGGTGAACAAGCCAGACATGTGGTCTTTGCCCACCTGAAGCCTACGGGGAGACAGGAGATCCAAAAATAAATATACCATTACACATTGTAATTAATTGAAAATATCTGTGTATACTAGGTGGCAGAGAAAGCCCAACGTGCTGCCTCACTGTAATTTCCAGTCTCTCCAGGAATAAGAAAGGCACCGCTCCACTCCCTTTAATTGCAGCAGCTTTTCTATGTTTTTGCATTAATAGTAATTATGTGCCCTTGACATTTTTGTGCTCAGAGTGCAGCAATCTGCCTAACAAGCATGGCTTGCTTCTCCCTGGACATAACTACTGAGTAACTGGCAAGCAGGCCGGACTGACCTGTACCACGCACAGAGCCAGAGCCTGCCGCCAACGCTTCAGGCCCAAGGGTTGTGCTCCTGGCTGCATAGCACAGAAAAGACTGCCCGACTGTGTCAATCTTTTTAATCATGCTTACGCATATAGGTTAACCACGGTTATGTAAGCAGGTTCTCAGAAAAGGTGAGAAAGAGAATGGAGAGTTTTGCTACAACAGAGGCAGGATTCTGAATTTATTTCCAACTGCCCATCTTGTCTCTCCTGGAGACCTAACCCCTCCAGCACCTACACACACAGCCTCTTTAGAAGCAACTATCCTGCGACTGGCTCAGAAAGGCTGAGTCCTAAGAATTCTATCTTGCTCCTAAGAAACCTCAAGCTTCTTTTGTGGTAAGTGGCTTAATGAGACAGGATAAGTAATAAGCAAGAAGAATTATTGTTATATCATTTTATGTTTTTATCATGTTGTCATTGCACTGGCTAAGTTCATCTTTGATGCTGAAATACTAATGCAAATTGAGGCTGTGATAAAAGGGCTTTCAATATGAAATAGACAAGACATATAATGGGAAGAAATGCTTCCAGAATGGATTTCCATAAAAACGTGACAAGACTTTCTCAGTGCCATTCTTTAAAATCTCTGCTATTTTTCATCAAATGCCAGATGTTAAAGCATTTGCATAGTATCTCTTGGAGGGCTGGGTGTAAAGACATGCATTAATATCAGGTTAACAGAAAATATCTATAATAACATAATGTCTACACACAGATGCTCAATAAATGCCCATAGCATTTGTTATTACTAATGATTATGAAGTACATTGACCCCTTTTTATATCAAATAATTTAGTAGACCCTCACTTATAGATCTTGTACTCCTACTTGGTTGAGAATGTATAAAAATGATGAAAAATGTCACGATGAATTCCATTAAATCTTATATAAAGATCAAAATGTAGGCCTCTAGCTGTGAAATTTAGAATCTCATCTTTTACTATCCTTAAGCAGCTGTGAGTGAAATGGCAGATCAAAGTTTACTTTTCATAAATATTTAAGTAATGTCACAATTAGCAATGCTATTCTAGATAATTATTTAATTTCACTACATATTATAAACTGAAAATCTATGAAAAAAATTGTATACCAATTTAATTGTCTTGGGAAATACAATAGAAATGGACCATAGTTTGACATTATATGTTTTGGTATTAAGTTTGTGCAAATATAATTGCTTTTAATGGTAAAACCGCAGTTACTTTTGCACCAACCTAATGGTTCATATGACATCACCAACAATCAGCCAGAAAGCTTCATATTAATCTTAAATGAATTGTTGCCATTAACAAAGCTTTCTTCTCTGAGATTCAGCTGGGGTTCATTTTGGAAAAACATTTAAAACTGTTATGCACATGAATCTCTGAAAAGATATGAAGCTCTGGCAATAAAACAGCAAAAAAACAAAAAAAAAGAAAAAAGAAAAAAGAAAAAAAATGAAGGCTAAAACCAGAGAGAAACAGTTTCCCAATGCAAAAGGTTTTCTATTATTTTCATTATCATTCCTTAGATGTTTTGACTGAAGATACAAAAAGAAAAACAAATAGATATGTTTTCCTCAAAAACCATCACTTTATTTTTGTGCCACAGTTTTTGTTTGTTTAAAATAAGATGACAGAGAAGAAAATTATAGCGATAAAATCAATTGTAGTAACTAAAAAAAAAAAAAAAAAAAATCTGTTGTAGTCACCAAAGGAAATCAGTCTGTATCTCCAAAATCTTTGTGTGAGAGCTCATCGGTGTGGTTGGCAGATGTTTTACAAACACTTAGGGTATCTGTCATGAACTTTAAACAGAAAACCAAGAGAACTTTTTCTATTTGCCAAGAAATCTAGGAAAACAAAGGGAAATTAAACCCATTAGCCTAGTTTAACATCATGTGCTTCCCCTACTCGCCCCTCCTCCCATAGCCAAGGCTTAGGCTCACACACTGAATGTTACTTACGTTCCTTAGGTAATACCACTTGGCCCCATTTCAAGGCTTTAAAAAAGCCTCATCACTATGTACCCAGCATTAACACTCAAAGTCCCGCAGGGCTGTACCTCGGACGGCTGTTTCTACTGAGCATGATACTCAGCAGATGAAATGCTAGCAGCAGCAGCATCTATGAACTGCCTTATAATAAACCGCGACTTGGCTGCACTTAGTCGTCACCAGGGCCACGCGCTGATGCGTGGACTGCACCCTCGGAGACTCTGATTTCATTGGTCTGGGAGTGGCCTGGACATCAGGATCTTTTCCTTTTGTAAAAAAAAAAATTATAATCCATAAGTTTTTCCTAATGGTTACATCTCACACCAGATGTGAGGAAACTGACCTTGGTAAAATGTGTGTGTACAGTTTTCTGTCACTTTATCACATATCTAGATTCGTATAACCAGCATTGTAATTATGATGCAGAACTATTCCATCACCACGAAGATATGCCTTTATGGTATCACCTACCTGCCTTCTCTCTACTATCCCTAACTCCTGACGAACACTAATCTCAATAACTTTGTCATTTCAAGACTGTTAAATAAATGGAATCGGCCAGGCATGGTAGCTCACATATGTCATCCTAGCACTTTGGGAGGCCGAGACAGGTGGGTCACTTGAGGTCAGGAGTTTGAGACCAGCCTGGCTAACATGTCGAAACCCCATCTCTACTAAAAATACCCCAGCCTGGTGTGGTGGTGCATGCCTGTAGTCCCAGCTACTCAGGGGGCTGAGGCGTGAAAATCACTCAAATCCAGGAGGTGGAGATTGCAGTGAGCCAAGACTGCACCACTGCACTTCAGCTTGGGCGACAGAGTGAGACTCTGTCTCTAAATAAATAAATAAATGGAATCAAACAGTGTGCACCCTTTTGAGATTGGCTTTTTCACTCACCATAATGCACCTGAGATCCATCTAGGTTGTGTGAATCGATAGTTCATTCCTTTTTATTGCTGGTATAGATGTACTACACCTTGGGGCTATTACAGATAAAGCTGCCATGAACATGTGTATAAAAGTTTTTGTGTGACCAGCGTGGGCGACATAGCAAAACCCCATCTCTACCAAAAAAAAAATTAGCCAGACATGGTGGCATAAACCTGTGGTTCCAGGTACTCAGGAGGCTGAGGTAGGAGGATTGCTTGAGCCCAGGAGATCAAGGCTGCAGTGAGCCACAATCATACCACTGCACTCCAGCCTGGGTGATAGAGCAAGACTCTGTCTCAAAAATTTATAAAAAGTTTTTGTGTGGGAACATAAGTTTTTATTTCTCTGGCATGAATGCCAGAAGTGCTGTTGTTGGATCGTATGTTAAGTATATGTTTCGTTTTTAAAGAAACTGCCAAACGTTCCAGAGTGGCTGTACCATTTTACATCTCCACCAGCAAGGAGAGATCCAATTTCTCCACATTCCTGCCAACATTTGATACTGTCACTATGTTTTATTTTAGCCATTCTGTAGGTGTGTAGTGAAACTTCATTGTGGTTTAGTTTACATTTCCATCAAAATGAGTGATGTTGAACATCTTTTCATGTGTTTATTTGCCATCTGTATAGCCTCTTCAGTAAAATGTCTCTTTATATCTTTTGCCGATTTTCTAATTGGATTTGGGCAAGGGCCAGAGAGATGGAGGAGGGGCAGTGCATCAAAAATTTCCCTAAGTGTATCTACCATACAGCCAAGTTTGGGAAGCACTGCGTCATTATAACTTCTTTATATCGGTACACTCTAAATGTAAGCCATTGCACCTGTGCTAATATTAAAATAAGGTCAGTGTGGGCACTGGCTAATTAAATATGCCTGCAGTCCAATGGAAAAACACTGGAGATGTTTTCCATGACCTCAGGTTGTTTGCATATACTCATCATAAGGCTGGAGGAGTGAGCCCTGCGGGGAATATTTCTGGAAATGTGGCCCAAATATCTTCTGCTTCAGAATCATGGCATGTGTATGTGAATGTGTGCACCAGTGTACATGTGTGAAAAACGGTGATTCCCCAGTCCCAAGCCCCAGACCTACTAAATCAGGACTTTTGAGGATGAGGCCTAGAAATCTATACATAGCCCAGGAGATTTCCATGCACTCAAATATTTGAGACCTACCTTGCTCAAGGAAGACTGGGGACCCAATCTTCACTTCAGGGCATAGGTGGATGCCTTCCTATTAAGAAATTGATTGGCCAGGCTTGGTGGCTCATGCCTGTAATCCCAGCACTTTGGGAGGCAGACATGGGTAGATCACAAGGTCAGGAGATCGAAACTATCCTGGTTAACATAGTGAAACCCCATCTCTACTGAAAACACAAAAAATTAGCTGGACGTAGTGGCACACGCCTGTAGTCCCAGCTACTTGGGAGGCTGAGGCAGGAGAATCGCTTGAATCTGGGAGGTGGAGGTTGCAGTGAGCCGAGATCGCGCCACTGCACTCCAGCCTGGATGACAGAGCAAGACTCCGTCTCAAAAAGAAGAAAAATAAATTCACTTAGGCAGGGCACAGTGGCTCCTTTCTGTAATCTCAGTGCTTTGGGAGGTCAAGGCGGGAGGACTGCCTGAGGCCAGGAGTTTGAGACCAGCCCAGGCAACACAGCAAGACCCTGTCTCTAAAAAGAAAAATAAAGAGGCCAGGCGCAGTGGGTCACGCCTGCAATCCCAGCGCTTTGGGAGGCCAAGGCAGGTGGATCACCTGAGGACAGGAATTCGAGACCAGCCTGGCCAACATGGCAAAATCCTGTCCCTACTAAAAATACGAAAATTAGCCAGGCATGGTGGTGGGTGCCTGTAATCACAGCTACTCAGGAGGCTGAGACAGGGAGAATTGCTTGGACCCAAGAGGCCGAGCTTGCAGTGAGCTGAGATTGCCCCACTGCACTCCAGCCCGGGCAACACAGCAAGACTCTGTCTCAAAAACTAGAAATAAATAATAATAAAAAAAAATTTAAAAAAGAAACCAAAACAGGCATAGTGGCATGTGCCTGTAGTTTCAGCTACTCAGGAGGCTGAGGTAGGAAGATTGCTTGAGCCTAGCAATTTAAGGCTGTATGAGCTGTCATCATGCCACTGCATTCTAGCCTTGGTGACAGAGTCAGACCCTGTCTCAAAAAAAAAAAAAGAAAAAAGAAAAACAAATTGGTTTAGAGAAGAGTTGTCTTGAGCCGATTTGGAGCGTGGAAACATGCGTTCTACTTCCAAAATGTGAGGAACAGACAGGGGCAGGGTAGCGTGCTTTTGTACACTGCCAAAGTGTTCCTGAGAAGCAGTGATTTGTAGTGATCAATAAAGATAATGTAACTAACATGTGTGAGCACTAGGCTTTCCCCACACACTAGCTCCCCTAATTCTTATAACAAGTTAGAGGTTATTATGTTCTCTACTTTGTAGATGAGGGGGCTGAGGTTTCGAGAGGCCTGGTCATTTGCCAGTGTCATAGGACTAGCAGATGTCAGGCTGTTTTTCCTTCTGGAATCTCCCTTATTGTTGTCTTTAGTTGTCCCAAACTCCAGTTTTTATTATTAAATATTTTTAGAAGACCTACTCGAACCTCATTTTAAGAAGAAACTAGGCCAGGTGCAGTGGCTCATGCCTGTAATCCCAGCACTTTGGGAGGCCAAGGCATTTGGATCACTTGAGGCCAGCCTGGCCAACATAGTGAGACCCCCATCTCTCTACAAATATAAAAATTAGCCAGGTGTGATGGCGCACGCGAGTAATCCCAGCTACTTGGAGGTTGAGAGAGGAGAATTGCTTGAACCCAGGAGATAGAGGTTGCAGTGAGCCGAGATCACACCACTGTACTCCAGCCCGGGTGACAGAGCAAGACTCTGTTTCCAAAATATGTAATAATAATAATAATAATAATACAAATTAGAAAAATTATTTTTAAAAGAAACTATAAGAATTTATAAATGTATTTACACATCCCCGAACAGCCTAACCGATCATCATTTGTGGGCTGACATAAATGCTGCATGGAAGTGGTGTATCGAATTATTTCTCTGGTGTAGTACTGCAGTCTAAACTGTAAGCATCAAGCCGGTTCTAAATAGAGACAGTGGAGCTCTCTGGAGCGCTCGAGTGGTAAACTACTATACAGTGGTAACAATTCCTTTTATCCTGCTGCTCAGGAACCTGTCATTATGCGGAGAGTAAGTCACACCCTTTAAATATACACATGTGGCCCTGGTGTCCATTTACACAGCTGCCATTAAATGGCTCATCCAGGTGAAAGCCCTTTTGTTTGCCAGCTTCTGTCCTGACTCATCTTGGATGACTGCCTCAGGTCCCTGTGTGGCTCTGACATAATTGATATTTTCATAACATACCCAGCTTCATTGTTCACAGTTCCTGGTCTGTGCCAGTTTATGTGTTTGAGCCTCAGGTAAGTTGAGCGCTGTGGACACATGGGTGTGATGAAATGGTTTCCTCTTCTCCAGTTCCACATTCAAAACCTAAGTCTTCCTGCAGGGCTCCTAGCCTTCAGGATTTCCATAGAAATCAGAGCCTGAGGCCAAGTTTAAGGTGTAAGGCTCTATCCCAGAGCTGGAAGGGTGAGGGTAAGGGAGTCAATGTGGGGTGATATGAACCAAACTGGCCAGGGTGCCGCAGAAACCACACCAGTCACAGCCACACAGGACTCTCTGGACGGGCCATGTGGAGCCACCACATTTCGAAATTGTCACAGGGGAGGACGAGAGAGGAGCTTATCTCCTGACTCTCTGGTCAAAGTGGGTCCTCTGTGGATTCAACTCTCCCTCAATTTGGGCTATTTACCTTTTAAGCAGTGACAAGGCAGCCGTCTTCTAGGCTCCCAGCCAGGGGGCAAGAAGCTTCATCTGAGTCTGCAAGTGCTGGGAAGGTCTGGTGCCCTGTGCTAGGGCCTGGGCTGCAAACGCCTCGGCTCCCATACGGTGGGCATTGTAGCAGCCATGCCTAAGCCCGGCTGTCAGCCCTCACCCTGTGGGGAAGCAGCATCTGCAGCCAGTGGCAGAGAGAAAGTGAGACTGGGAAGCTGGGGCTCCCCACTGAGCAAGCAGCCAGGGCCCAGCAGGCAGATGGGGCTGAGCAAATGTGGGGAGGCCCAAAACTTAAGTCCAAGTAGTTCCCCTCCTGATTCTAATGCTGTATCTGAGTATCAGTCAGGGTTCTTACTTGCAAGCCACAAGAACGTACTTTAGCTTCCTTAAACCAAAAATGAATTTATTGGGTGTACATGGAAGAGCTTTCAGAAACTGAAGAGTGGGCTTATAATGCAACCAATGAGAGCTGCCAACTAGGCAGCAGAAACCGGGGCCCAAACACCACTACCATGGGGGCAGGACCCTTTCTCTACTAGACCCTAACATCACCACCTCCTCATGAGATCTCACACCATCAGCATGCCTCCAAAAAGTGCAGGGGCTCTGATGTTTGTTATGGGTTTGACTGTCCCCCACACCCCTAAGTTCTTATGTTGAAATCCTAACCCCTAGCACTTCAGAGTGTGCCCTTATAGGGAGATAGGGTCTTACAGAGGTAATCAAATTAAAACAAGGTCATTAGCACGGGCCCTAATCCAATATAATTGCAGTCCTTATAAGAAGGAAAAATTGGACATAGAGACACGCATAGAGGGAAGGCAAGGTAAAGAGACATAAAGAGAAGATGGCTACCTACCAGCCAAGGAGAGATGCCTGGGACAGATCCTTCACTTGTGGCTCTCAGGGAAACCAACCCGGTCGACACCTTGATTTTGGACTTTAGTCCTCCAGAACTGTAAGAGAATAATTTCTGGTGTTTAAGCCATCCAGTTCGTGGTATTTTTGATAGCAGCCCCAGCAAATACAATCCTGGAGAGCCAAGGGGGAAAAAAGAAAGAGAATCCTTACCAATTTGTTGAACTTTTGCAGATTGCTAAAGTACTTTGATGCACATTACCTTGCCTGGCAGGGCTGTCTTCATGGCCATGAGACCTGTGCGGTCACACAGGGCTCTGATCTCAGAAGCACCCAGCACTTGGTTCAATGCCCTGCTGTTGCCATCTTAAAATTCTTCATTTTTTTTTAAGCCAGGGACCCCACAATTTTCATTTTGCACTGGGTTCCCCAAATTATGTAGGTCCTGTCACCTGGTTATCACAGTAATCTCGTGAAGTAAACAGAGACTGTTGTTACGTGTGTTTATTAATAATGAAACCAAAGCTGAGAGATGTTAAGCAACTTGATCAAGGTCAACAGACCTCCCCAGAGTTGGATCAAGATCTGAGATCTCTGATGCAATGGCTTCTGTGTCCACCCAGTTTTGAGATTCTGTCATTCTAGAACCTATGTAAAAGGTAAGAAAATTTGGAGGTAAACCTTTACACAGCTGCCTTGCCTTCACTCGATTATCCTGGCAGAAGTTTAACGCTTGAAAGCAAGCTTGGGGTCTCCTGGATAGTCAAGAGGTTCCTCTACCAGCCTCATCTCTGTCACTGGTCTGCTCTAGTCTACTTTTATCTGTGTTCCTATTAGACTTCATGTCTGGAAAAGCAGAGTTCTTAGCTGCCCAGGCCCCAGGTCAACCTCGCTTGGGTTCAGATAGAAACTGCTGACCTCAGGTCACTGGATTCATGTCCTAAGCCAAGGTCCTTGAAAAATATTAGGAATTAATCAATTAACCTCTTCCTTGATTCTAGATATTCTCTGTCTCATTTTTCCTGGGATAAACCAACCCTTCTAGTTGGTCCGGTATAAAGTTTCACTGTCTCTCCCATCTCCTTTCTCTCCTCTCTCTTCCCCCTTGAGTCCTTGCTTTACTGATGTTCTTCCATTAGGCCAACTGTCCCTTTCCCTTGACTTTCTTACCTTTTCCCCAGCCACCGTTCCACCACAGTTTTCTAACAGCCTCTCAGTTCTTCACAGCTCTGCCTCCACCATCACCACGACATCCTCCCATCGGTGTCCTAAATAAACATTTCACAAAGTGGTGCTTCATTACTCTTGGGTTCTACTCAATTAGGTCATTTTCCAAGTTCATGAAAATTGGAATAGGTAAGAGGTAGTGTGAGGGTTTTAAATTTATTTACCACAGAATGCAACATTGGAGGGTGAGGTGTATGGTAATTCTATTTTGTTGTTGCTTATTTATCCCCTGAGGCAGATATAAGTTGTTTACACACATGTCTTTCTTTGGACAACTTCTCCCCCATTGTGTGTGGTCTTGCGGGGCTGTCAGCCTCCTTGATGCCTTCCCATAGGACCCAGGGTGGCCAATCAGAGTATCCTATCCTCCAGTGATTGGCTCTAGGATTCCCAGATGACACAAGCAGCACCCATCAGAATCATCCTTGCCAATGGGGATCTAGAAAACTGGAGGGAGATAGTCTCTCTTCCTCTACGAATGGGCAAGCATGGAGACCAATGCTAACAGGAAAGAAAAACTAAAAGAAGTGGAGTGGGGTCCAGATTTAAAGACTCCAACTTGATGAGGTCTCTAGTGATGGTTACTTGCTCACAGGGTCAATGGAGACTGAATTGACCAGCAGCCATTTAGAGTTTTAAAGGCAGGTGGTGGTAGAGAAAACTGAAGTTTGGCAAAGAGGGGTCTCGAATGCCCAGAGTGATGGTGCAAGATGGGAGCTAGTACTGTGCTTAGGACCTTTTCCTTTTTTAATGGATGGGGATTTCTGGGTTGTTCTAATGCTTGGGGGTTGCTTTTGGCCTTGTGAGACAGGAGTGCTAGACTCTTGCAACGTGCAGGACAGTTCTACAAAATGAAGACCTGTCCTGTTAACTTGCTCTCTCTCTGCAGGAGAGAAAAAAACCAAACTGTAGAAAGAAACAGAATCGTGGCGTCACTGAGTGAATATATGTATCCAGCCCTGCAGATGCCTGAGATCCACCCTCAGGCTGTACCTTTTCCACTTAAGCCTGTTTGCACTGGGTTTGGTCACTTGCAACAGAAAGAGAACTGACAATTTCACACACAGGGGGAGTTACAAGTGCTCTGCTCTTCTGCAATTGCCTTCCATAAGCCTCTAGTCTATATACTAAATTAAAATTCATACTAAATTAAATCCATGTTAAATCTTCCATCTGCCCACAAATCTGACTATGCCATTCCCCTGTCCTAAGTTCTTACTGACTCCTCTTTGCCTAGAGGCTCCAGGGCAAGGCACAGAAAGCCCTCATGCCTGAGGGCTGACCACCTCTCCTGCCTCGTCTCTGGCCACTTCCTGCCTCACTCTCTATACTCTAGAACAACTGCACTGTTTGAGGATTTCTGCAGTCTCACCTATCCATGCCACTGCTCCTCTGCCTGGAATCCACTTCCTACCTCTTTTGCCCATAGTCAGCTCAGTCATCAAATCCCTCACAGGAAGCCTTCCATGAACCCCCAGCTGGACTAATGTCCCTATTCTGTGCTCCCAAAGCACAGCGTGTATACCTCTATCTTATGACCATCTTACATTAAAAGATCTGTCAGTGTGTCTGTCTCACCCACTAGACTAGAAGATTCTCAGGTTCAGGGGTTGTATTTTAGTCAATTATGTTTTCCACAGCAGCTAGCATACAGTGACTGGCACATAGTGGGTCCTCAAAAAAGATCCTGTTGAACTGAACTGGTCCTTGTCATAGGTCAAATATAATAGTGTTTCTGATGAATCATAAGTCATATTGGATGACATCTGAGATAACCTGCAGTTTATAGAATCTCTCATTCTTTGAGTGAACCACTGGTGTACCTATGACTATTTGTATGACCCTTGTATGGAAAAAAAAAGCTGTCTAAAGACAAACACTTTTTTAAATGGCTTGAGTTACTTAGTTGAACAGAGAAAAACAAAATGAAAAATGAATGCTTTTCTTTTTTTAAGAGACAAGGTCTCACTCCGTCACCCAGATTGGAGTACAGTGACGCAATGACACCTGACTGCAGCCTCAGACTTCTGGGCTTGAGTGATCCTCCTGCCTTAGCTTCCCAAGAAGCTAGGACAACAGGGGCCTACCACCACACCTGGCTAGGTTTGTAAACATTTTGTAAAGATGAGGATCTCACTATGTTGCCCAGGCCAGTTTCCAACTCCTGGCCTCAAGCAATCTTCCCTGCTTTGGCCTCTCGGAGCACCGGGATTACAGGGGTGAGCCACCACGGCCGACCCAGCATTTTTTATTTACATGAAGCCATTTTAGTTTCCCAAAAAAGCACAGTGCAGAGGCAAACACCACTCCAGAGGCCGAAGTGAGGAACAAGGCTACTAGGGGTGGTTAGCTTTCTGGAGTAGGACGGGAAGTAAGATTGCTCCTGAGCCCAGCCAGCTGCTGTCCTTTGGCCTGGGTTTGGGAAGGAAGAAGCGAGTGCCTGTGGCATCTGAGCATCCCGTTCCCTGTCTGTGGGTATAGACAGCGTTCTCATTTTATCTTTGTCATCTCACAGTATATCCTTGTTTTTACTGTTTTTGTCTCAGAGGAGGTGGTAGGGTGAAGGGAGTGAGGAGAAGTGAAAAATGTGTATTTTTAGCCATGACACAGCCAAATGTTCTGAGTCTTCTTTTATAACCACATTTAAAAATAAATGTCAAGAGTTAGGAATTAAGTGATTTCTTAGTGTCCACATCCTCCTTCCATCCTTAGTGTTGGCATGTCTCCTTCTGACCTGGTTACCCTTGTGTGGTGTTGCTTTCAACTCCAGATGTATACATCGCTAGCTGCATGGAATTTTTAAAGACATCACATGAAATGCTCTTGTTTTTAAGGTTAAAATATGCACCTTTATTCTGAGTTTAATATAATAATACAACTGTTCCTATGCAAGGATGTGAGCATGATTTTCCATGAAAATCATGCATTCTGCTGTGCTTTCATTCATTTTTTCATGCAATATTTCTCAAACATATAATTAGGGTAAAAAATCAGGCAATGTACATAAAGATGAATAGCCACCCTGCTTTCTGGGAGTTACCATCTGGACAACTCTTTCTCATAAGGGGCTCTGAAATGTGCTGACATTCGACTCACCTGAGGTTATCGCTAAAATACAGATGCCTGGGCTGCACCCTAATTTTGCTGAATTAGATCATATATGAGATAATGTATTTTCATGCCTTCAAAATGCTTTGTAACTAAGGAATAGTATGACTTTCAGGAAGAACTAACACCATGAAATTCATAAGCATGTGTGTGAATGCCCTCAGTCAGGTTTCCAGAAGGTACTAAGTTTTAAGTTAACAACTAAGACTGAGCCACTGTTGTCAACGAGACCGACACTGAAACCTCACTCTAACCATTACCTGCTTCACGGCCTTGGGAAAGTTATTACACTTGTCTTTCTTCTCACATGTTTGAACTTGGGATAAAGCCCACCTTACAGAGTTACTTTGAGAATTAAATGGAACAACATTTGTAAAGTCTTAACCCAGCACCCAGCATGTAGTGATGCTAGCCAGCAGTCATTCTAGATTGATGGACACTCTTCAAAGATAAGATTTTTTTTTATAATAAAATATTTTTTTCTGTCCCAGGTATATGAAAGCACAGGACTCAAGCCATTAGCTCCCTTATTCCACTGCTCTGCACCCTGTGGTTTAAAATGGTTAAAATTATTTTTCAATTAACGGCTTTATTGAGATATAATTTATATACAGCAAAAGTCACCATGTATAGTATATAATCTGGCCAGGCAAGGTGGCTCATGACTGTAATCCCAAGACTTTGGGAGGCTGAAGTGGGAGCATCTCTTGAGGCCAGGAGTTTAAGACCAGCCTGGGCTACAAAGTGAGAGCCTGTCTCTCAAAAAAAAAAAAAAAAAAAAAAAAAAAAAAAAAAAAAAAAAAAAAATTAAAAGTAAAACTTAGCTTCTGTGATGTGTGCCTGCAGTCAGGAGGCTAAGGTTGGAGGATGGCTTGAATCTGAGAGTTTGAAGCTTCAATAAGCTATGATTGCACCACTGTACTCCAGCATGGCCAACTGAGTGAGACCCTATCTCTAAAAAAATAATAATAACTAAATACAAGTCAATGGTTTTCAGTGTATTTACAGAGTTGTGCAACCAACCACCACTATCTAATTTAGAACATTTTCAAGATTAGTTTTTAGAATGTGTGTGTGTGCCTTCCTTAGGATGGGTGAGCTTATTGTATGGATTTTTTTTTTTTTTTTTTTAGATAGGTCACCCAGGTTGGAGTGCAGTGGCACAATCATGGCTCACTGCAGCCTCAACCTCCTAGGCTCAAGCCATCCTCCCACTTCAGTCTCCCAAGGAGCTGGGACTACAGGTGCATGCCATCACATCCAGCTACTTTTTGTATTTTTATAGAGATGAGGTTTTGCTATGTTGCTCAGGCTGGTCTCAAACTCCTGAGCTCAAGTGATCCACCCACCTTGGCCTCCCAAAGTGTAGGCGTTAGCCACCATGCTCAGCCCAAATTTTTAAAAACAAATAAACAATATTATACATGGTAGCAGTTATTTTGTCCTTTACACACCTTGGGAGACTACAGATGCTTTCTTTAAGGTATTATTTTCGTCTTTCTAATTTACCTCCTGGAATTGTCTTCAAAAATTTGTTCACATCGTTTTAAGTATCTTCAGTTGTGGTAGATCATCTTTTGAAGATGGATGTGAATGAAAGTGATCAAAAACAGTGATTATCTATCTTCAGTGACCAGCAGAGGAATACAAACTGGTTAATGCTGTCAGGTGAGGGGTGGGGGTGGGGGCAAAAAATCAAGGATTGACTATAAATCAGTGAGACAGGTGATCTACTGTGGCCTATATCTGAACTCTAAAGGTGTAAAGAATGAACAAATTAATAAAAACATCAGTAAATATCAATACATAAGATACAAATTTGTTATAATCATTTAGGGAGATAGTGTTAAATCAGTCCAGGAATAAGTGGATTCTGACAAACTTGGCACCAAGGTCTACTATGACACTTACCATATTGTGCTATGAATACGTA